GAGGGACCTGGTGGGCTGGTGGGCTCATTAAGACGTGTATCGATCAGAGGCATTGACTTATTGTGTGTGTGCTGTCTGGTTGAATCTAGGTGTGTGTGTGCTGTGTGTCTCTGTAAGTCTTTCTACTGCACTTGTGTGTATCTTAACGTGTCAGAAGTGTGTGTGTGTGTGTGTGTGTGTGTCCCCTCCCTCTGGCTCAGATCTCTTAACAGCTCGGTTACAGGTGCCAGCTCCTGCTCTTTATATTTAGTAGCCGGGGCTTTGTGGAGTGGCTCGCCGTGCGGCGGGTGGCCGGCCAGCTGCTGGGATGCTGCTCGGTGTCAGCTGTTACTGGCAGCCAGGCAGCACGGAGGAGGCTTGTCATAACCTTGAATTGGAATTTGTTTTGTATGTGCACAGCTGGTGAGCTGCTACTCTTTGTCAGCTGTGATAGCAGCTGACACCAGGCTGTGATTTGTTTAGCGGTGGGCACACCGCAGCCCACACTGATAACTGCCAGTTCTGACAGAACTTCACGTTCACACCCCTGGACGGGGACTGGTATTATTTGTCTTTCAGAAATGTATGAATGCGCACGCCGCAAAATCGTGACGGCCAGGAGCTAGAGGTTTATAAATATTCAGACTTCAGAGCAAAATAAAAAAAAAAGGCATGACGGAGGTTTTTTAAGCACTTTCACAATAAAAGCAGCATCTGTGAGGAATGTTTGTCATATTTCTGGCACTAGTTGCTATAAATCGAAGTGGGAGACTGGGATGAATACAATAAAAGTGTGTGTGTTTGTGTGTGTGTTGTCAGCTGGTGGAGCCCCTGACCCCCAGCGGAACGGCCCCGAACCAGGCTCAGCTGCGGATCCTGAAGGAGACGGAGCTGAAGAGGGTCAAGATCCTGGGCTCAGGAGCTTTTGGAACTGTCTACAAGGTCAGTGTGTCGGTGCACTCCCAAGAGCCTGTTTATGCGTGTGTGCATGTTTGCACACGTGTGTGTGTGTGTATGTACGTACAGGATTCACACACCAGCTCTCCTTTAAGTGTGCAGCCTTCACATTACAAATAAAATGTCAGCTCGGTGGCGAAGAAGATACTCGAGCATAAACTCTCTTTGAGCGGACGCTGCCCTCTCGCTCGACAACCTAAACAATAAGTATAAATATTTTCTTTGCATCAGTGTTTCCTGATGGACACGGGCCTCGGGCGGCTCAAGGACCTGGAACACAAACAGCTGTTTTCTTGCCAAATTCAGATCCACCTGAAACTCAGCAAACCCTTTGAATAAATGTTGCACTTCCTGCCTCTGAGTTTCTCTCGATATCAGTATTGTTGGGCTTGTTTTTCATTTTATCGCTGTATTTCATTGCAATAAATTCGCATACGTAGTCTACCATCAATTTATAGCCTCGTTATGATCCACAGCCTGAAGCAGGTGATTGAATTTAAGCTCCATAAAGTGAATACAATTATATGTCCTCATTTTAATTATCCTTTCCCACTTAATTCAAAATGTTCAAGTAGACCGCGGAAGTGAATGAAGCCTGTTTTCTGTGAAATAACCAGCAGAGGGCGACTGCACTGGTTGTTTATGTCTAGGAGAAAATGACTTTTCACTTAGTGACGTCAGTAAACATTGTCCTAAGGAGTTTACGTCTTTTAAGGTTTAAGTCTTGCAGGTTTTGTCCAAATAGTGTGGACGGGCTTCAGAGTATGTTCCCTCTCCTTTGGTGGGAGTCTCAGAGGTGTCGTCTAATTAGCAGAGACCTGCGTGTAGAACCTGACGTATTAAAAAGACAGCGACACTAAAGTTCTATACAAACGCAGCAGCTGCTGCTTAGTGATCTCGTTCCTCCGAGATCTCTTCCACAGGAACGCTGAAGATTGACCTTCTCAGCTGCCACAGTGGCAACGCTTGCACAACATTGTGTTCAATTCATCAACGATTACGGTTAAATGAATATTTAAACACGTTTTGTCCGAGCTGAACGCAGCCCAGGGCTCACAAACCGGTGGGCGGTGACGCAGATGCATCAAAATCCTCGTTTCTCTATGTTTCAGGGCATCTGGGTCCCAGAGGGCGAGACAGTGAAAATCCCTGTGGCCATTAAAATCCTCAACGAGACCACCGGACCTAAAGCCAACGTGGAGTTCATGGACGTGAGTATTTTCACAGCTGCAATTTGTGTCGACTTTCATTTGCGCGTATCCTCGTCCGTGCTGTCAGGGCGACGGCCGAGCCTGTCACTCGCCAGGATTGTTGCATTCGACGGTAAATTCTTATGAGAGTTCCATCTCAATCAGAGGCGGTAATAAAGTGAAGTCCGCCGCACAGCCGGCCGTGTATTGAGCAGGACTCTATTAAGAAAACAGCACTTGTTTATGAGATGTGACTTTATTGGAATCCAGGAGTGATGGAGGAGGGGGAGCGAGGGAGTCAGCTGGGGGAGTTTCCAGTTCCTCCCACCTCGTCTGTCACCTCTCTCCTTCCCCCTCCTTCATCTTCATTTCATTCTGCACAAGTTTACAGAAGTTTTTCATGTCACCGCAACACAACTCCATATTTTCTTCCACTTTTTATTCCAGTAGAAATCTATAATCGTAAAATCTTTTCCTCTCTTCTCACCGTCAATTCCCTAAAACATTGATTTAATTTAATTCCTGACTGATTTGTTGTTGTCCTCTCCGTGACAGAACCAGAAACCTAAAGTTCTGCAGAGTCCAAAAGAAAGAAACACCTAAAACGTCCTCGCTATTGTGATGTCACACTAGCGGCTCGGCTAAGTGTTTAACCAATCAGAGCAGACTGGGCCCTAAAGACACAGGAGCAAAAAGTGTTGAGAGACAGAGGCTGAAAAGAGGAGCTGCAGCAGTGGACAGTCTTAGGAGAGTGACGTGTCGTCTGAACAATGATCAACCTGAACTTGAGCTCGTCTCTTTTATTGCAGCTAACGTTGCTAAATTGCCAACTTCCAGTAGTTGAAGCCTGTTTTTGTATTTATTGTGAAAAACATTATTACACCAGGTCTCTCCATTTATAATAAATTAGGTTTTATAATTCCTTTCAACGAGACAGCGACACGGCAGCAGTTCCACCTTCTTTCTCTTCCTCTCTCTCTCTCTCTCTTTTTCTCTCTCTCTCCATCTTCCCCCTTCCTCTGCCCTCTCCTCCCCCTCTCTCCGCTCCTCCCAGCGGGGGTCTCTGTCCATCCAGAGCCAATATGCTCTGTCTGCTGGCTTGTTAAACAGCAATCTAAAGGCAGGCTCACGCCTCACCACTGGGAAACTAGCCACTGGAGTGCCAGCTCCACACACACTCCGAACCCCCACCACCCTCACACACACACACACACACACACCCACACACACACATATAATCTAGCACTTGCACACTTTACAACAAAAGGCTCCCCAGGTGGTGGTGGTGGCCTCGCTGGCATGTGAGAGATGCAGGCTGATTTGCGTGTGTTAGCAAATATGTGAGTGAGCGATATGTGAAATACTCTCATTTAGTGTGTTGATGCACACACACACACACACACACACACACACACACGTATGCTGGAACATGCACTAGTTTCGGCCTCTCACAGTCGATCACCTTGCGTTTGTGCGTGTGTGTGTGTGATAGAAAGTGAGCAAGTGAGTTAGATGTGGAAGGAGGGTCAGCCGGTGGTAATGGAGGTCAGCGCTGAGGGAGATGAGAGAGAAACCAAAACACACACATTCCTGCGTGCACACTCGTGCACGCTGCACAACTCCTTGTAACGTTTGCCCTGGGAGTAAAAAAGCAGGAGCAAGAATTTAGGCTGACATAGTTTACGACTCGTGGGTCTTGTGGGATCACAGAGTGAGAATAAAAGACACAAACACTCTCCTCCTATACGTCCTCTCCTCCCTGTTTCTTCCTCTCCTGATCCCGGGGTGGCGGCTGCACGTGGCGAGGATGTGGCTGGAGTCGTATAACACGCAGCGGTCACAGGGGGGAGCCGGTGGTTTTATGAAGTGGAGATGTAGTGGCTCTACTTTGGACTTGGGGGCTGTGTTTAAATCAGGCCCCCGATGGTGCCAACAGCTCCTGCATGGCCTATGGCCCCCCCCTCCTGTTTAGAATTAATCTACTTACACACAGCGGCAGCACCACTCCCCCTCGGAGCTCATTCTTCAGCATCTAAATTTAAAAAGGCACCTCATCTATCCATCTGCTGCCCCGGGGGCCAAGCCTGGATACACACCTCCTCGACCGGAGAAGGAGAGAGGGAGAGTGTGTGTCCTTGAGTGTGTGAGTGCTTTAGGGATCTGCCAAGAGCGTGTGTCCATGTGAATGGACACGAGATGTGGACGAGATGAGGGGAACGGCTAAAGTGAGTGTTTTCAAGCCAGAGTGCTGCTTCTGCTCTGCCCTAATGCAGAAACACGTCAGCCCCCATCATAACACTTCATCACCGGCACACATCCTCCCGCTGGCCGCTCCGCAATAACAATTACCCAACGAGGATTCTCAAATGTTCAAACCTCTGAGTCCATCTGCCGCCGAGCGAGAGGGATGAGAGCCAGGCCAGAAAATGCATTTACATGCCGAATCAAACCAGGCGGAGAAATGAAAAGTAGCTCATGAAATCAGACACACGGGGCTCTGTATCAGACGCGTGGTCGTTTGTAGTGTTTCGATTGTGTTGGTGCAACATTTAAAGACGTCTCCGTGTTAAAATACAGATGAAAACGCAGCTCTGAAGGTTTCTGCAGGATTTTCTCTCCCAGCGAGAACGCTCCGTGGACAGATGCTGTGCATGCTGATAAAGTCATCATCCCGCGAGTCTTAATTTATGCATCGAAGTCCACCTCCACCAGGAAGTCTGTGGAATACAGCGCAGCATTATCCAAGGATAATAGATGCGTGGACAGACACACTGAGCTCTGCTTTAAAGCCAGAAGATAATAGAGCAGTGCCTCCTGACATGAGAGTCGAGAACCTTAAAGAGTTTCCAGGATTCATTTGTGAAACCAGATTTAATATGTGCGATCAATTCATTTAGGTTCGATTCTGTGATGTTCCACTGATAGAAGAACCTGGTAGCTCAGCACATGTCAGTTTGCAGAAACACGTGAAGCAGGTTCATTTTGTCTTTATTGTAAATAGAAGATGAACTGTAGGACAATCTTTTATTCCGTCCACAACCTGCAACAGTCGCCTTAGTCCCTCTCTGTCCTCGTCCCCCCCTCTCACCTAGGAGGCCCTGATCATGGCCAGCATGGAGCACCCCCACCTGGTGCGTCTGCTGGGCGTCTGCCTGAGCCCCACCATCCAGCTGGTCACCCAGCTCATGCCCCACGGCTGCCTGCTCGACTACGTGCACGAGCACAAGGACAACATCGGCTCGCAGCTGCTGCTCAACTGGTGCGTCCAAATCGCCAAGGTAAGAGGACAGAAGGTGGCGTGTGGTGGTGCTGCGTGGTCGTGTGTGTCTGTGCCGAACGTTTCAGGCGTGTGTGGTTGATCTGGGTTCATGTTGTAAGAATCTGATGGTGTCTGAGCCAGGATTTGATGGATGGAGGTCGAAGCTTTGAATATATTTTTGAGCTGCTGTCACAAACGTTCCTGATTTCTGACCTTTCAAGACTTTCTGGCGTTGAATCAAGCTCCCGCTTCACACGCTAATCACTTGCACAACCTCCTCACAACAATGTGGTGCAGCTCAAACACAAGCTGCACTGCGGCTCGTTGAAACAGCGGCAAGGCTTGAAATATCGTGTGTGCTCTCGCTTACCCAAATAACATGTGTGTGTCTTGTTTGCAAATGGAGACGACGCAGCTCGGCAGCTTGATAGTGTCACAGCCTGGAAAGATTTAACTTGTGTGAGTTATAACTACAGGAAGGCGGGGGGGGGGTTTGCGAAGCTGTGCGGGGAGACATATGCTGAGATGCAGCGGCATCAGATCTGGAAGATTATCCGACTAAAGGCTGATTTACAGTCGGCTTTGATCAGTATGATGCCTGATGTGTTTTGTTAGCAGAGGTTTCGTTGCTGTTTGTCAGCGAGCTGAGAATTATGTGACGTGGCTTCACCCATCGCTTTGTGAGTTCCATCTTGAAACCACAGATTGAACGAAACGGAGGATCGGGGATGATGGCAGCGAAACACAATTATACACACAAACGAGATGAAGGAGATTTGGAACCATGTGGTCGTACAGTTGCAGCGTTCATGTGATTCCTGACGGTGGATGAGAGAGCGGTGATCTGAGCTCCTTTGCTAAACAGCTGGAACTCCTGCACACGTTGTTCTCTGCAGATCGTGTCTGGAAACAGCTGCGCCAAGATTGTTGTTGTTTTTAAATGGAGGCTCGATAAGACGTCACAACCGCCGCCATGAAAACACAATGTGTAGATCATTTCCTGTTCCTGTGGATTTCCTTCAGGAGTCAGACTGTCGGTATCGATCCGTATCGATTAAAGGAAACAGGTCATCTGATATGAAGCCGTCGGAGTCATTTTCATGGACTTCAGTGTGCGAGGGTTTAACCCTTTGCTCCCCGGTGATGGTTGACCGCAGCTCTTGAGGAACAGGTTACTTAAGCAGGTACTTATTGCCGTAATTGGATTCGATTTCACCTGTGGAGGCAGGAGAGCAGACGTGACAGCTTCTCTGCGCCTCTGTAAGTGAGGAAGAGCGAGAGGGAGGATTATTCACCTCCGTCCTCGAGCCGCACTTCACCGTGACATTCAGTTCAGCGAAGAGACGGTGATTTACAGCAGAAACCGCCATTCGTTGGTGGAGCAGCCGGATTGATTGATGGATAATCTGTTTCTATCGAGTGAATTAGTGAATCAATGATGTTGTTGTTAGCTTCAGAAGGACCTGCCCTTTACAGGAATGCCTCCTTTGTCCTCGATAATGAGGAAAAGCAACATCAGACACTCGCCACATGAAACTGAACATCTCGTCTTTTGTTTCTGATTTAATTTGCATCTTTATTTTAGTGACGAGGGCGCATGCGTCCACGTGTCTGATCTGCACCAACGATGTCAGCACTGTAGATTTTTAACATCAAGTTTACTTCCTGAGAAATAGAATGTGACAGAAAGTGGTGATAGACAACTTTTCATTTTATTTTTCTGAATCTGAACCAGGTAAAAACAACCTCGTTGACAAAGCTCTTAACTTGTCCCTCGTGATTTGGAAAAAGACAGAAAAAGATTGTCAGTTTCGTCTTTCGATCAAAACCCAGACTCTCATTCTGAAAGCAAAGTGCAAATATTGATTTGTCATCGTTATGAGACGCAACGTGTGTTTGATTTTCTTTATTCTGTCAAAGAAAAACTCGAAAAAGAACAAGTTGGTCGTTCTGGGATTGAGCCCGATGACGACACAGTGACCAAAAACTAAAGCAAACTCAGCTCAGCTGAATTTTCACCGTATTGCTGCAGATTAATTTATCTGAATTCCATTTGACTCTCCTCGCTGTGTCCCCGGGTGCAGCAGGGAGTCCGTGTCACAGCATGTGGTTTCCGGATCCCCACAGATGTTGCTCATGGAGCTGAAGTACTCAGCCAGGTAGCTCTCTTCTTCTCTGGTATATTAGCCCTTTGGATCCTCCATCACATCGCCCCGAGGTATTTTTCAAACCAGAAAAAGAAAGATATTCTCTCAGGTGTTTGCCTGTGAGCTTTAATGTGTCTTTGCATTTGTGTGTGTGTGTGTATCCGAGCACATGCCTGTGTGTGTGTTTGGGCATGTGAAGCGATCTTTGAGTGATTTCTCTGCTCTCAAGGTAATGATGGGGAACCTCTCCTCCAGAAGAGCAGCATCCTTCTAAAGACACAATTTTCTACCGAGGGGGAGAATAATTTCCCCTCTGTTCTCAATTAGCTGTGAAAAGGTTGTTGTTACGACCGAGGAGACGAAAGAAAAGAGCAGCGTGTGGAAAGAGTAAAGATCACGGGACGTAAGGATCGAACTGAGTACTAGGTAACAAGCTAACCGAGTTCTCAGCAAGAAAGTAAAGTAGTTGAAACTGTGTCAGGGTATTTATTACTACTCATACATCCAAGTGTGAGGATTATTCTAATTAAGATCGATCACAAACGATGGTAGTCATGATAATAGTCTGTAGCCGAGACTTGAGAGGAAACTCTGTCTAAGTTTAACCTCCAACAATTGATCACGTTTTATGAAATGCTCGTACGTCACAGTCCCATCAAGCTACCTGGAGAACTCCCGTGTAATCTGAGAGAGTAAACACAGACGGACCCGTGACCATCGCTCTCCTTCAGTCAAAGAGCGTAAACATCATTACTCTGCTGCTCATAATTGCCCTCCATCCTCTCCCATTCATAAAGGAGACAGGAGAAACCTCCCCATCATCGCTCTTTATCACACGGTGAATGGAAGAATGTAAACACAATTATTTTTGGGAAATATAATTAAGTGAGCCAGGGGCCCGATACTGTTCCACACAATCCTTCTAATAAAATGTTAACCGGCGAAAAATATAAAGTACAAACACCCGAGAAGCGTCCTTGAATGAAGTACCTGAGTGAGTAAAAATATAACTGAGGTCGAAGGACGCGACTGAAGCAGAGCCGAGCAGCAACAAACCATAGAATCACTTGAGCTGTCTTTTATTGAAACAAACATCTGATGAACTCGACGATTTGATTGTTGAGACGCCACAGAATGAAAAACCTTGTCAGCTGCACCATCGTCCATCGACTCCTTAGTTACTCTGCGTATTCACAGGACGTCACGTTCGCAGCAGAGGAAAACTCTCTGCTCCAGTTTCACCATAGTGTCGTGGCGGTTTGCCAGCCCCCGTCGCCCCCGTCGCTGCTGCCGCCGCCGCCGCCGCCGCCACAACAGCAGCACAAACACCAGCCGTATGTGGGCTGTGACCCGGGCAGTTGACCGCTGTGCTGCAAATTGATTGGCCGAGGCCTGTCGCCAGGCAGTGACTCTTCATCACTGAGTGTTTTGGGCATTGAGATAATGGCCCCCATTAATCTACAGCCACACTCAGGGCTGCCCCAGTCCGACTGGAGCGCACACACACACACACACACACACACACACACACACACACACACACACACACACACACACAGAGACACACACACACACACACACACACAGACACGAGGCAGGACACACAGTCTCTTTCGATCTGTGTGAATGGTCTTTAATTTATTCTCAGTCTTTCATTTCCCTTTTTTCCTCCATCTTTCTATTTCCTCTCGAGATACTTTTTCCTTTCCTCTTTTTTAATGTTCTTTCCTTTTCATAGTTTCCTTTCTGATACTTTTCCTCCTTTCCTCCCCTACTTTTGAATTCCCCTTCCTTTCCTGTTCTTAATGTTCTTTGTTGCCTTCTTCCCCCTTTTCTTTCCTTTCCTTACCTCAATAATGTCAATTCCTCCCTTTCCCTTCCATCCTTCCCTGCCTTCATTTCCTTTCCTTTCCTCTCCCTCCTCCATGTTCCCTCCTCTACTCACTCGTATACATTTTTGTGTTTTTTCATTTTTACCAAGCTGCAGATTTCTCTGTTTCCATGGCGGCCATGTGCTGGGGTGAACAGAGGTCAAAGTTTGACCTACATCTCCTGGTACATTACGCACTCCAGGCCACGTATCCTCGAGTGACTTTGTGTGTGTGTGTGTG